AACACTGCTATTTCTAATACTTTGCTAGCAAATAGCAAAAAAATAGTATTTATCTACACACCTAAGCTCTCAGTCAGGTGAAATGTTTCTATTCTTAAAACATCCACTCATGTAAACAATTTTACTTCCCCATGTTTAGAGAGGGGAGAGAAAGTACCCTGAAGTCCTTAATTTACTTTATATAATCTAATAACTTTGCTAATCTTGCTGTTCTACTGCAGAAAAGTGGTATAAAACACCTGGAGCTGTAGATGCATCAGTGGGCATCACGACAATCATGAGAAATTCAGAGAGCACACCTTCAAAGAAGGCAAGCAGCAAACTTATCCCATCTCACTAAGACATTAGGTGCCATTAGCTGGGTACCGGGCTCATCAAAGCTTTCTGGAATTACATGTAGAATTGTTCATATCAATTTACCAGACATGCACTTTCATCCTTTCAATTCATGTTAAAAAGGCATGTCAATTCAATTACTTTTAGTAATAGTGTGGATAACATCTCACAATCCACCTGACAAAACAAGGTTCACTATGTGGCAAAGCTAAGTGACAGCTGTACTTCAAAACAGGACAGCTACCTGTCTTCATTTTCAAGACATTTTTTTCAGATCAATCCTAGTGATTTTGACTACCAACCACCTGCATTCCCAGCGTACAACTAATACTGACAATCCCACTCCCCCACCCAACACTGATCCAAGAATCTCAACTAACAACATATTCACATGCTCCACAAACAGACTCAATTAAATACAAATCCTTTTTTAATAATGTATTTCTTAAATACCGTGGATCAGGAATTGCAGCTCTAGCACTCATTTACGAAGTCTATTACCACTAATTCATTAATAATAAAGTTAAAAATTACTCATACCGAATGCGATTGGTGACTGGAGCAATGATGTCTCTTATGCTTCCTTTTATGACTACTTTTCCTGCTCCGACCAGAGGATTTGCTATAGTGATGATGGTGACTCTTTTCATAGTCTCTGTGATAATGCCTGTGGTCATACACTTCACAGAAGTCATTTCTGTATTCCTCAACATATCTCCGGTCATGATGGTCTCTTTCATTTATGGCTCTATCGTCCAAATAATGACTGAAAATATATTTTAAGTGAATGTTCTCCACTTCAAAAACTTGAGGTTCCAACAAGATAAGTGACCTGAGCTGAGTTATACAGTATCTGTCTTTACAGCAGAAATGTTTTTTTAATTGAATCCCTCCCCAAAAATAGTGGAGCTTTTCACATTACTTTATTAGGGATTTAACAACATTGTCAGTCTCAAATACATGGCAGCCATCCACATGAACAATGTACGATCTGTCCACAGTTTGCATAGTAAGAAACTCAGACTTAAAAAAGATAAACACTTCCTAAAATATACTGAGCAACTTCATTACAACCTTTAAAGTCATATGATAAACCACTTTCAATACAGAAATCATCCCTTCTATGCTTTCAAAGCTCCAGGTGTTAAATAAAGCCTAGAGACTGAGAGAAGCAGCATAGTTCTAAGCGCTCTGCAACCAACATTAAAACCTCAGATTATCTGGAACAAGGATCTTTTGCACAGAAAACAGACCATTAAGAAAGCTGCTGAGGCACAGAGTTCCCTTACTGCTGTACGCCTACTCCTTCCAGCATTTTAATAAGCATGAGTATGAGCTTTTAAAATAATTCCATTGGATCTTTTCAAGGAAAAAAAAAAACAACAAACCAAGACAAAACAGAAAAATACATCTTTCCAGTGAAAGCAGTGTAGGAGAAAACACAAATCACTTCCAAATTAGTATGAGAAATTCATACTTACCATTGTATTAAATGATTAAACAAACCTTCTTCCTTCTTTTATTCACATTAAGTTAAAAGGCACTTTACACATGAAATCTAATATTGATTGTATTCAATACCAATGTTTACCTGACATCACTGAGACAAACTAGTAACACTTACTTGCTTTTATTCAAGAATTTCTATTTAATGGTTCAGGTGCTGTGTTAACAGCTACGTATCAGGCTTGTCTTAAGCCAGCTAAGCCATAAGGAACTGACAACTCTAGGCATTCAAAAACTCCTACCCTGAAAACACATTTAATTTAGACATGGTAAGAAACATTTGCACTACTCAGTTCAGAGCCTTATACCTTTCTGAAATGCGACTGGGTTTATAGTGCTTGCTCTCTTGGCCACTGCTGTGGGACCTCTTTCTGCGTTTGCGGCTGCTGCTGTGCTTCCTCTGATCCCAGCTCCTTCTGTCGTCCCACTCAGGACAATGAGATTGCTTTGAATGCCTCATCTCCCACTGCAAAATACAATAATCATAATTTTTTTTTAAATCAATGAACACACATGTAGGTGCAAGTCAACAAAGGTAGCTTGATCAAGTATGACAAAACTAAAAAGACACATTTTTTCTCAGCTCCCTCCCCCAACAAAAGTCGGTTTGGCAGGCAGACACAGCTCCCTCATCCCAACACTAACACTGTTATGAAACAAATCAAGATTAAATGGGCCAACTCATCTTCATTTAATAGCTTCAAACATGTCATTAAAGCCTGTTTTAAATAAACCCTCAAGTGACTAAACACAATAGCATCCTTAAAGAGCCTTCTACTGGAAGAAACCTTCCTCTCCAGACATCCTCTAACAATAAAACCTGGATTTAGGTCTTCCTACTGTATTATAAAGTAAAAACAAGTATGCACAATCAGCCTAAAAACTTCTCTCACTAAACTATTTACAGAACACCAGGAAACAGTCACTTTTAGCAACAACCACTGTGAACGCTGATGGATTAACACAGCTTTGGAGCACCGGGAGCCAAGTCACAACTTTTGCACCCTATTAGCATGCAGGACTGTGAGTGTTCTACAGTTCAGCCAAAGACAAAACCCACCAGCTTCTGTTGCTGGATGTTAGGTGCAGGAATTCTTTGTTCAAACAGGTACATGCACAACTGAAAAAAAAAAAAAAAGGCAAAGTAAAACACAGTAGAATTACTGTAACAAAACCAACTGTTATTTGTTTATTCATCTGAAGAAAGAGTTTTTTAAAAGTAAGAATAATCTTCTGTATCTACTTCAGTATATTCCAAAGAATGATTTTATATAAGATAATAAAAAGTTTCTGCAGTAAGCAGTGACAGTGAAAACAGTACTTTAGAGACAATGACAGCAATACAGTAGAAAAATCATGACTGTAAATCATGTGTAAATTCTGCAAATCCGTGTAAATTTACAGAGAACAATGCCTCTATACAAAGAGAAGGCATTAAGACAGAAACTCCTAGAACATGCAAACGACCGGCCTGTTCTGGAGGGGAAAAAAAAAAGGGTTTTTTTATACTTTCAGAAGATCTGTGAGAGGCTGGTAATTAAAAAGAATGAAACTAAAAAAACCTACAGACATCCGCAACAATATTTTTTAAATCAAAAGCATGTTACCAAACCGTGCAAAATATGTGCCTTGTATACATTTTGTGTGAGTCATGATTCAGAAAATCTTACTCACTTGTGAGATTCTAATAAAAAATAAAATAATAATGTAACAAATGACAAACAAAAACACCTGAAAAAATTAAAACCGAGTTGGTGTTTCATTTACGTGCTTTAATTTCCTCTATTTTTACACAGCTCCAAAGCCATTTTCCTCTGTTTTCACCTTACATAACTCAGGTTCTGAAGCACACTCAGGTTTCAGTGACTCTTGAGGTGCAGAGCTCCACGCAGTTATAGGGGAACTGAAAATTCTACTTATGGTTGCTTGGGATATTTTTTCTTTCCCTGCTTGGCAGAAAGCAGGCTGCACTAAGGTAATGAACATCTAAATAAAATCACCATTAAACTGTTCTGCAGAGCAGGGCTTGGGGGCAAGAAATACTTGACACAGGAAACTGGAGAAAATGCTTTGCTGAATACTAACTACTGCTTAACTACAATCAAATACACATAGCATAAGTGAAATTAGGATAAAAATTACAAATTGTGTCCCTAAAGGAGCCGAGTAAATTTAAATGAAGAGGAAATGGCCAGAATCGGTCTGAGTCCATTTTAAGGTAGAAGCCACCCTAAAACTTTTTACTACTGTGCTCTGTCTGATTTTAAGCGCCGAAGAACTTCACTTATGTAATACTGACAGCTGCCACGAACATATGCATTTCTGTAGCATGTGGAACTAATCCATATAACAGGCAATTTTCACTCCCACATTTTGCCATAAGGAGCCATTCCCCTACTGAACAGATCCATACACATAAGGGCCACGAAAGCCCTGCCGTAAGCTGCCTACACAGCAATTTTTAAATGCCTCTCCTCAAAATCCTGGCAGGCGGAAGAGGTCAAAGGCTTATTCTTTTGGGATGACCAAAGTCCGACACCGCAGATCCTGGAGGGGACACCCGCCACCCCAAGCCAGGGGAACCGGGCCCACTTCACGCCACGTTCCCCCGGGGAGGCCTCCGGGGCCGGCGGGGGAGGAAGGGCCCATTCCCGCTGCCACCTGGGCGGGCGCCAGGCACGGCCGGCCCGGATGAGCCCAGCTCCGCCCGGCCCAGCCCTCCGCACCTCCGCGGAGATCCCCACAGAGCCCCTGGACCGAGAATCCTCCTCCCCTCTCAACACCTCCTGATGCGCCCCGCGCCGCGGAGACAACGCGAGCAGCTCTCCCACCCAACCCCACGCCCTGCGTCCCCTCCGTCTACCCGCCGCTTCGTCCCCCTTGGAAACAGAAAGGAGTGAGAAAAAAAGCGAAGGAAGCGAAGGCGAAAAGAGAACGAAGAAGGGCCGCCCTCACCACTTACAACTGGAACGGAAAGCGAGCGAGTTCCGCGTCCTCCAAGCGCACAGACAAAATGGCGGCTGCGAGCGCGGAGAAGCTGCTTCCTCCTTCTCCCTCGTTCTCGCGGCGTCTCTGCGCTGTGACGTCAGACGCACAACGTAGGACCCGGCAGGGCGGGAGCTCCATGGGGAGGTTCCGCCCCCATGCCCCGCCCCTGAGGTGGTGCTGCCGTCAGGGCTGCGGCTCTGAGGGCAGTGGGGAGGTGTTCTTTACGTCCCGTCCCGTCCCGATCCAACCCACCCCAACCCAACCCACATGCTGGGCATCGACTTTACCCGAATCTTCATGGCTTTGTAAGCCAACCTCATGGAAAAGTTCAAACATGGAGGGCGAGTTCAGAGGCCACTCCAGAGCTGCAGGCCTGCCCTCCTGTGGTGCCTCATCAAACGTGTTTAGCAGTGCAGAAATCACTAATTAGTCATAACCGCTAATTAATTCCTTCTAATGAACTCGCCAAACGCAGTGTTTTAAGCAATTTGGCTTAAACAAACTGGGGTTAATTCTGCAGTCAGGCCTGGCTTCATGCTCACAGTTTCCTGTGCGAGCTGTTCCTGTGTGATGCTCACGGTAAAAACCCAGTAAAATATTTAATCCTCCGGACTGTGCAGCTTGGAGCTGCCCCCTCTGCCGTCTGCAATCGCATGGATCGCTGAGCTGTTCCTGCCCCATCCCGGAGCAAGTGTGGGATGGCGGATCCAGCTGAGTCATGCCCTGGCAGAGGTAAAACCCAGCGTCCTGAGGTAGTTCTGGACTGCACCGGGGAAACTTGGTATCACCAGCTCCTCCTGCTTTCATTAATAAATAATAGCTTTATATTTTATAATATTATAATAATATATATTTTATATTTTTTAATAATTAATAAGCCCAAGGAGATCGTTTCAAAGTAAAGAAAGGCAAACCCCAAAAGAGGGAAAAGTTGAACTGAAGCGCAAGCTTCAGATTTAGGAGCTCACAAGGTTTTATCTGGGGAAAATCACAGCCTCTGAAGGTTAATGGGTAAATTGAAAAATTCCTGAACTCAGTGACTCCCAGCATAATTTTAGCCAGTGTTGCTTCTAATACACCAAGGTTTTGCAGCTGAAGCAAAATCCAGAATAGTTAAAGTGTAATGTACTTTTAATTTAATGAGCGTCATTGTCTTTTTAATGTTAGTCCCCAATAACATTAGTAAATTGTTCTAAAATGAGAGCATACTTTTGGATTTGTGGTTTTAAAATTTTCATTAAAATTAATTTGCCAACAAGTGTAAGGTAACTATTTTAAACCTGGTTTGCAACTTCATTACAAGCTTAAACCTTTCCACTAGAGTGGAAATCCTGTTCCTGTTCTTGGGATTTTTTTCTTGTTTTTTTGGGGGGTTTGTTTGTTTCAAGGAGAGAAAGTAAAATACAGAGCATTGACACCTGTTTGTTGCCCCCTGTATTTTAAAAAATCTTTTGACCTCATAATTCATGTTGTATGCCAAATCAATTAATGCCAAATAAGGCTTTGGTGTTGTTGCTTCAGTGTTTCTCATTTAGCACCAAAATGATTGGTTATTATTCATAAAAAACTACTAATATCTGCCAAGCGTTAAGAGTTTTCTCAACATCCACTGATACTGTCTGAGGAATTCTCTGCAAGCAGCAGAGAAAAGATAGAAACATAAAATTAAATTTACAGAGAGTGAGCATGCACCCATGAAGAGGCAGAAAATATTCATGTACCTGATATTAGCCAACTGTACCACACAATTACAGTTTTTCTCTAATTTCTTAATCCAAAAGGTGTGTCTGGGAAGACTATCTGGATTTTATGGAAAGTTTCTTGCTGGAAGGCTGATGACAAACCAGTGGCTGGTATTCCTGGCAGGGCAGAGAAGATGAGATGTGACAGCATCACAGTCTGCCTTTCTTGCCTTGCTACCTCTTCTAAGTTTTTACTGGATTTTACATTTAATAATTTCCTCTCCCCTTATAAAGGGATGTCAGGGCCTCTAACAGGATATAGCAGTTCAGAAACAATTCTGGGAAATCACATTTAATGGGAAAAAAAGGAAATTAATGCAGAAGAGATTCTCAGAACTGGCTACCTTTGGAAGCAGGAAAATTTTAGGTTCTAGGAGATTTTGGTTCTCTCCTGTTAGGAATAACAATTTTCAGCCTGGAATAGCAAAGGCAGAAATAACTATTGTCCATTGTGAATACACAATGAATGGGAGCTGTAAGTTTACTGGTTTCAGTCAGAGGCTTTCAGCTGACAGTTGAAAGAGGAATAAACCTATCAGAAGTCAGTAATTAGACCTTTTTGAAGAAGAAAAACAGTGTATAAAGGTTGAACTACCATCATATCAAACAGACATAAAGAAATTTCCCTCTGAAGCAAAAGCCTTACAATGGATTTTATAGAATGTAGCCTCTGCAGACAGATTGCAAAGCAGTTCCACTCCTGCTCTGTGTGCTGAATAAAGCACTTTGACAACCACCTCTGCAGACATTCAAAAGAAAAGCAGAATTGGAAGTTAATTTTGCTTTCTGTTCAGGAGGTGGCAGTGGAGACACAGCAGTGGAGGAATGTCAGCTGGAATTTAGGTGATGTCTCAGAGAAGGATAAAGTCAGGAGAAATTTTCTGGCCATGACCAGGTGTTGGGGGTTAGGTGTCCTTCCTTTTACTCCTTCTCACCTACAGAATATTTCCCCATTACTTGCGGGGAAACCTGACTGCTGGTATTTATTGGGTGCCTGAGCAGACAAAGAGATCTGGTCTGGGAACAGGGGGAAGAGGGGCAGGTAACAGGGAGGGCAGGGGCAGATGCGGGCGGGCTGCTTCCTTCGGCTTCAGAGTAGGACACACTCGGAGCTGTTGCTTGGAGAAAGGAATTCACCATAACCCACACGGAGCTGCTGCTTCTTGTCCTTCTTCGTCTGTGGGCACCTGCACCCCCTGCCCTGCTGGGATGTGCCAGTGCCAGGTATCGCCGCGGAGCTGCTGATCCACCTCATCCACCGGCCCGGGATCTCAGCTCGTCCCTGCTGTTCCAGCTGAGTGTTCCTCAGAGCCCTGCAGGAGCACGGGCACTGACCGCCCGAGGGGTTTGTGAGGCAGAGCCTCTCCTCCATCCCTTCCCATCTCGGCCAAGAAGGCTGTCACGGGGTCCCTGGTTCTGTTTTATTGCTAATGCTGTAGTTATTGTCGTTTGTTTGCCTTGTTATACATACTAGTGAAGAACTGTTATTCCTATCCCCATATCTTTGCCTGAGAGCCTTTTGATTTCAAAATTATGATAATTCGGAGGGATGGGGGGGCCTACATTTTCATTCCAAGGGAGGCTCCTGCCCACCCTAGCAGACACCTGTCTTCCAAACCGGGACACCAGGCTATGTAGCACAAAGTGGCAGTCCCTCTAGAAATGGCCGTTTTTAAGTCAGGGATGAGGTGAAGAACACTGAAAAATCAAATTAGAGAAATTTAATCTTTACAAAACTCAGGAAATCCATTTGAGTGTAGTTAGAGCCACTTCTGCTGTCAGCCCTTATGGTATTTACTTCTGTTTATGTGAGAGAACTACTTCTTTCATTAGACTTGCAATGCCAAATGTATGCACAGCTTGTGGAGTGAGCAACACAATGCAACTATGTTTTAGATTGCTTCCTACAGTAGAGTACATTACAATTCAGTGTTACTGCGCTGCTGGGACACATTTGTGAGTGCATGAAAAGATACATTAAAACCATTTGCTTCAAAATGCAATTTTGTAAGGTCCTTCTTTCAAATGCCTTACCACAGGAGGTGATCCATCTTCACAGCAGCTCTTCGGGAGATACAGATCTTACCTAGTTTTTTCATTGTTTGGATACAAAATTTAAAGCGAAGGTCCTCTGTCTTGCCCAGAGCCTCAGAAAAACTCAGAGGCAGAGCCAAAAATTCCTGACTTTCAGTACTTCCAGTGCTGTGCTTGCTTTCTTTTAATTACAGATGTATTTGTTTTGTTTTTCCTCTCTCTGGTTAGTGTCAGAGGGTGGCTGATTAGCAGTTGTGCTTTGCCTTTAGCTGTTCATGGATTTCTGTAGTTCAATGGTTTAATTTTCATACTGACAGAGATTTTCTTAGGTTCCCTTGACTGTGGGGGAGCAGCTGTATCTTTGTTTGGGAGCTCAGGGACAGAGTAATGACATTACTGTCTCTTTATAAGGGACTGAACTGAACAAGGATGGAAAATCCACCACAAGAATTTCTAAGATATATCAGGCAAAATATATTATTCATTTCACAAATCACTGTAACTACTGATCAAGGCAGACAGTGTCCCAGATTGTTGTGGCATATGTAAATTCAAAGAGATAATAGGAGCTTGGATGTGTGGATCAGCAGAAAGGCAAAGTGAGAACCCACTGACAGTTCTATTTCCACATTCTCCTTCTTTAAGAGTTAGTAGAATTTTTCTTAGAAAAGCAGTGACCCAGAAACTGTGTGAGCACGGGCACATGTTCATTCCCATATGCACTGGGGAAAAGTTGTGACCAGGCAATATGATGGTTCTCCCTGAGCTGAGGTCAGTGGCAGACTGGAATGGCCTCTGCTGCCTTCAGCTGTTCCCGTTGTCTGAGGGCTCTGGGGCCACCGTGCCCTGAGCAGCTGGCAGCTCACCGGGAGTGAGGAGCGTTCCCTCCAGTGGGCACACTGGGTCTCACCTTGGTGATACACGGGCCAGCTGGGATCACCTTGGGCTGAGCTGGTCCACTCCCTTTAACTGGAAAGCTCACAGGGATGCTTGAAACCTGGGACTACTCTCACTCTCTGTGGCACAGCTGGGCCTCCTGAGGACTGAAATGTTTTAGCCTTATAGAGAACTGGGGGCTTCACAAAGAGAAGCCTGAATAAACCACAGTTTACAGGAAATTCAGCCAGATGACTCAACAGTTCCTTTTGGCAAGAGCTCTGGCACTGTGAGTAAGAACACTGCTGAGAAAGGAGGTTGCACATCCCACTTTTACAGGCTTTGGAGTCAGGGACACCACTCACATGGAGCTGTTCTCCCTTGGTGACAACAGACAGGACCAGCAGTGCTGAACAGCAGTTACACACTCACAGAAGCATCGTGCTGCAGGTGCCAAATGATACATCAAGGGAACTCCACCGCTTCTGTCTACACAAGTTTCACCTCTGAGTCTCTTTCTTCTTTATTTAAAAGAATTTTAAGCTGCTTGAACCAATGATGTCTCTTACTGTATATTGTTACTGAAATGGGGCCCTCATGTAAGCATTTCTCAGTTTATTATTTGTATGTGTCAGCAATACAAATATTAAAAGAGCACATTTAAACATCAGTTGTACCACAGAGTTTTATAGAACCAAACTGCAAAATACTCAGACCCAGTCTGAGCTTTTTCCTCCTATTATTATTATGAAGTTTCCATTCTACAACTCTTATTTAGGAAAATATTTTATTATGGTAACTGTGAATCTGTCTCCTTTCCTTGCAGTGCACATGCAGTGCAATGCTCTGAACATGTGACGATGAAGAGAAGCAGTAAAATGGAAATGAGAAAGAGCAGAAATGCCAGGTTTCTTCCTACACACATATTCGTGAGTTGTTGTGCAAAGTTGGGAACATCACTGTATTTTTGGAGTTTTAAAGCAATCTTCACAGCCTATCCTGTAGATTAGCAGTTGTTAAAATCTTTACTTCATAAAAAACAAAACAAAAAATCCCCACAGCTGAGCCTTTTTTTTTTTTTTTTAATCATTATTCTTATTTGACACTCACATTACAAAATTTAGAAACCATAGACAGTTCAGGCAAACTGTTAAAACACAGTATAAATTAGGGGGGTTTAATATATAAATTCTATACATAGGTAAGTTAGCTGGAACATGACTGACAAAAGGATTTCATAACAATCTTACCACAACTGTATAAAAAGGCATGGGAGTAGGATGGGCACTATCATCATGGATGCAGGTTAAGACATTTTCCACAACAGCTATAAAGCGTAACAATGACCATGCTATTCTCGCCGTGTTTATGTGGGCTACAGGATGCATATTACCAATAACATTTTGCAAGATCTATGTACAGTCACAAAATCATAACAGCCACTTTCAGGTAACTTTACTGTTTCCTGCCTGTGCAATTAATAAAGTGTTGGTATTTGTTCTGGGAATTTCTAACAAAGCTACATGGTTTGCGTATTATAGATGGGTTAAAAATTTGACTCGATCTTAAAGGTCCTTTCCAACCTAAATGATTCTACAATTTTATGGTTCTATGGTAGAGGGATTTCAATTTGACCTGAAAATGCTAATCACAACATGAATTTTTTAATTTAATGAAAAAGATACAGTAAAAGCACAGTTCCTCATTGCTATCACTCACATGATTAATATATACCCCTCTTTTAAGCCGTATTTATTTCTTAGCTTGATTATTTTTAAAACCTAAGTGACAATTTATTCCCATTTATCTAAGCACAGCTGTAAAAAGGAGTAACACCAGAAGAAATGTACAACTAAAATTTGGGTATCTTTTGGGGGGTAATTTTTGAAAGGATGTGCTTCCCAGGTAACCCTGGGCCTGTCATGCAACCTTTGAATTTCTCAGTCTGAAAATAAAGACAGTTCTGCTTACCCATTTTTATTCTGCGCTTTTAGGTCTGTGACTAAATAGTATCATTCTAATAGTTTTAGAATACTATGTTCTTGGAGTTTAGGTTTAAGATAGTTGATAGTCACTGTTGTTAAAAGTGACAAAAAATTGAAATCTGATTTTTCACCTTTATAAGCCGATGAATGCTTGCTAAGAGTTCTGAAACACAGAGGATAATTTATTTTCCATCTATGTTGTGTACTAGTATTGGTGTTTTCACAGACAGACCCCTAAGGGAAGTACTTGTACATTTGTAAGAATCAGACTTTGAAGCACTTGAATTTAATAGCTGTGTGTGCATCTTTCACTAAGTTTTAATAATTTGGGCAATTGTATTAGAACAATTCCTTCTGGCTCAAGGCAAGGACAGACAGTAAGTGGTAACTCAGCTTGGGCTGCTAAAGAAATACAGATGATGTCAACAGTCTAAACTACAGCCCCCATTTTCTCTATTCTGTTTGCCCACAGACCAATCATAAAAACCATCATATGTTCATTTCTAAAAGACTGGAATTTTAGAAGCATAATTCAATAATGAAGGCAGTGATATAGTACTGACCAGTAATGGTTCACTGAGGAAGTTATGTTTCTCTGAAAGGTAGCTGGAATATGGAATTTTCTGTTCAGAATTCCATCAGCTGGGGCTTTTCACCTTTTAGAAGGAAGGTTCCTTTACAGACATTTAATTTGGAGGACTCCTGAGCTCTGAACTCCTAAGTCTTCTGCATTCTAGGAGGCCTGGGAACATTGCTACACTGTAATATTAATCTGGGTTGGCAGTTTTAAGGCCATGGGGATGAAAAGAGAGAAGGACTCCTATTCTGTTATGACAGATCTGGAGTATGAATACAGAGCCTTTGTATGGCAGAAAGCTAGAAAAATGTTCCTTTGGCATTTTGCAAGAGCGGTTTATGGAGCAAAATTCTTCTGTGGAGGGAAAGGCATCAAGGGAGGAGCGAGCAGTCCAAGCCACTCTGAATTTACAGCTCTGTGCTGGCCATGGAGCAGGGCAGGGGAGCTTAGGCAGGAGTTACTCAGCTTTTCTCTGCAGCTGAGGCTGCAGCCTGAGTTTCAGTGTCTTGCACCCATGCAGAGTGGATGAAATACCAGCCATACGAGCTATTTGCTCCCTAGGTACGCTTGCATAATGTAACAATGCAGGATGTGATGCCTTGTATGAGCATTAGCTTTAGTGTACTTGGTATTTTTTGCACATCTGAAAATATGCAGAAAGAATTGTAAAAGAAATTAATACAAACCAGATTAAACAGATCTGTTCCATCTTAAAAGCTGCTCCACAAAGCAGGGAGCAGTGGTGTCAGAACAAGGGACACATTCTAGCCAATATTAAAACAAAATTATTGGTAGCATTTTCTGCAGCAGTATTTCACTGTATTCTCTCCTGCCTTCACCTGCCCAGCTGCCAATGGTATTAATAGAAGATATTTTGTTCCGCTCTGCTGCCATGCAGTGAAATATGAAAGTTAACAACCATCAAAGTATTTATCATAATTTTAAAAATACTTATTTTTATTAGATCTTAAAACCTCTGTCAACTAAGTAACAAATTCTTCACTGTTTTAAATCCACTAGAGAAAACCTCTTTTAGTTCAAAGAATTTTCTTGTAATCATTCTGTTGGGTGGATAAGGAAGTATAAGTAGGCTTTGCCTCAGGTGAACTTCCAAAAACTTTCTCTCTTTCAAAAGGGATGTGCCCCAGCATTGGAAAACAGAGTGCAGGCTCAGGTGTGAATGTGCACTCAGCTTTGTCCAGGATCATCCCATCACCCCTGTGTGTCCTTGATGGTGCCTGTGCTGCCAGCCCGAGCTGGAGGTGTGTGTGCTGCTCCCCAGCCACACTTCAGGAATGCTCTGCACCACCTACAGAGAGAATTACACTTGACAAGTAATGTTAGAAAGTAAAGACAGCTTTGGCCCACAGTTGTGCAGTGACAAAGAGGCTTTTCCGTGTTTCTTTGTCACTCCCTAACCCCATCCTGCAACTACAACAATGGAAATAATCAGTTCACAATCAAAGGGGGTTTAATTTCCAATGAGTAATTTGAGACAGTATGGCTAATTTCTACAAGTACAAAAAGAAAGGTTCTTAAAGCCAGAAAGTCAAATTTTACTCTTAGATATTAATTAATTCATTTGATCAGATTTAGTCCTTGAATTTGCTGCTGAAACTTCAACAATGTCAAAGAAAACTTTTGCTAAGGCTGAATCTTCACCTTACTAAGTGCACCTCCCATCTGAGAGTTGCACCTGGCACAGAGACTACACCAGCTGACAATACAGTTAATACCTGTGAATAACTAAAAATTGCACTACAGTTAGTAATTGCAGGACTGCTCCAAAGCCCATCAAAATTATTTGGAGATTTTCCTCTGGCACGTTGCTGTGTTTGGGATCAGCCTCATTCCATGGAACACAGTCATTGCTAGATCAGAGACTGTTAACTGTGTAGCATTTTTACACTGATATGCGTAACTATCTTTTCTACTAACATGTCTTTTCAGTTGATAATTCCAATTACATATTCAGTAATCTGAGCTCTGTTCTAAACTGGATTTACAGTCATGTGCAAACCAGTGCTCATGTGCTTTAAGAAAAGGTGCATATACTATTGCAATAAACCATGATGAAATAACCAAGATATCAGGAAAGGACAGGCTTAATTTTAAGTGAGTGATTATCTTATCACCACTGACCACATTATAAAATATTCTCGAGCTGAGAAAAATATCTCTGCATTTAAATTGTTTCTTATTTGAAGTGCTTTAGCAGCTGTCCACACTTTTTTAAAGTGACAGCTCAGCAGAAGCTGAGATCACAGTTTGCTCTATCCACATGGGGAGCTTCCAGAGATGTACAACAGGACTGTGCTCATTGCCTAGGAGAGGGAACAATGACAGTCTAATCAGGGTACTCTGGTGCACGGGGTGCTTGAGTGCTTGACTCATTTTGAGTTTCTGCCCTGAAAATTTAGTCATGCCCAGCTGCCCTACATCCATGCACCTTTAATTCAGTAATGTGATCAATGCTGATGTGAAATTGAGGGCAACATTGTAGGATTAAGTGTCTTTTGAAAGGCATTGAGCAAATTCATCTACTGACTTCACACAAGCTAAAGGCACACAATTCCCTCCTTGCTTTCCACTGAGGTTTATACCTAGCCCTGCATTGCAGGATGGCATACTCAAGAAATGGAAAAATGGGACTTGTGCTACCATTCTGATTACACTGGAGGAGGTGCAGAAGTGATTTCATGTATTTGGGTCTTTTAAAATACTTTTAAAATTCCAAAAGCTAAGTTAATGCTTCTGCAAGACTGTGTCATATTCACATTGTACCAGCTTAGAGAGAGGTTTGATACCAGCACTGCAGAACTGCAGGTCAGGTTTTGCTCTGTTCTCTGTGTAGCATTACAGAGAATTGTAGCATTACAAGCAGCTGTCAGAGAGTGAATCCACTCAAAGAAGCAGAATTAGAAAGCTACAACATTACTACAAGTAACCTGTCTAGATGTTGGTCTAATGACTGCGCACCTTACAGGGGTTTTAGTGCTTGGTGGGAAATGATCCTTCATTTTCAGCATGGCAGGAGTTTCTTTATGCCTTTATAACAAGAAAAATGGATTACTGGACATGTTTATGTTCTCATTTTCATGTAATAGTAATACATTTTTAGAAGAAACATATTGCCCAAGTTATCATTCTTTGTTTTCAGTTTCACCAGTACTGGTGCTTGTTCGTGAAGCAAAGCTCTGAGCCTGCTCCTACCAGGAGCTGTCCACCCCAGTTAGGCCACATATTGATTAGAAATGCAACCCACAGCTGCAACTTAAGGCTTACATTATTTCTGGTTAAATAGCATTTAGCTACAAAACATGTGAAGACAAGCTATGGCTCCTCAAGTCCCTTTTTTAAAAGCACTGTCTTCTTATTTTAAGTTGTTTTGCACTCTCATCTCAATGCAAAGTCCTTTTGCAAAGAGCAGTGAGTGTCTCTGGAGATCAAATACTACAGATTAATGTGCCACGCACCTCTATAAAGCAATAATTGCTTCACTACTCCCCAGGAGATGAGGATGTTTAGCACCTCTGAAAAAAGACTTTTTAAATGTGTGACTACATAAAGGCTTAAGAGTAATTTAGTGTTTCTGACAGTCCCACTAAGCCCTTAATACCCACCTAAATCTGACCTTTATGCTTCCATTTTAAGCACTAAGATTTGAAAGTTTTGGACTACAAAAGTGGTTTAGTTTGCAACAGTGATAAACTTTAGATCTAATTTATCTTGTACTTACAAAATTGCTCAAATTCATGAAAGGTGCCCCAAAATGTAAGGAATTATAATGAGAAATCACATTTTAATTAATTGTCATGGTTTTATAATCTCATCTGTACCAACCTCTAGTGGCTCATTAGAAAAAGAATGAGGATTTCCATTTTAAAAAGCAGGTTTTAAGAAAGGGACCATCCACCTGCACTGGGTTTCAGATAAGTAAAACCCCCATATTTCCACTGTGAAGTCACACTGTGCCTGCTAAAAATATGCAGATAGTTAAGAAAAAACAACCATTTAGCAAACACACTTAAACATTAGCATTGTTGTAGATATGTTTATGGTTATTGCTCTGGATTCATCTGAAATTTAACAGGCTTTTAATGGCTTCATTTTGGAAATGGTTCTGCCTGAAGGAACAGCTATATGTGTATAGTTTCTTTGTATAGCTCTCAGCTCATGTACAAAAAATAACAGACAGCAGATTCACAGTATCAGCAGAACAGTCATCATTCCGTGGCTGCAATGATGCTGTACCATCCTTACA